GCATCAAGTCCCTGTGAATAGGGCTGGAAATCAGGCTGTGAGGATGCCGGATCCGCTCCTGCCATAGCCATCGGACTAGCCTGGAAAACTGGCTCCTGCCCGCTCATGTAAGGGTGCTCAGACGCCGCCTGACTAGGACCTGCCGCATACTGCGATCCGTGATGATAAATCGGCTGTGACCCGTAAGTAGGACCAAATGCTGGAGGTCTAAACCATCCCTGAGTCTCGACCACTGGTCTAGGTGCTATAATCGGGACAGGCTCAGCAGCAACTCTCTCACGTGTACGTCCTAATCCCCGTCCCTCCCGTCTATTACGAGGAACATCCACGATCAACTGAGGATCAGGCTGAGTCTGCACGGGGGGTGCCTCAGGTCCAGGCTCATCAACTCGTGAACTCTCACGAAACATCCCAATAATCCGGCCTATCTCCTCGTGGATATACTGTAGTCCAAATCGAGGAAACTCCTCCGCCGTTGTTGCATGATACAGCATTTCAAGACCGTCAATCTGCATATTACGAAAAAATGTTAGAAATGTGAAACAAATGTAAAATAAGTACAAAACTCACCATGCGCCCTATCTTTGCTGCCCTCCGTGATATGTAGCGCTTTCCCCTCTCTCTGTACCACTCCATGTACGCATGATTAGGTGACATCAAACCATATAATGGAGGTGGCAGTACAATATGCTGAATCCTAGTATTCCATCGATCAATGTGAGCCCTGAGCTTACGTCTCCAGTTCTCTTCAACCTTCCCCCGTAGAGTATGATCATGTATTCCTCTCAATTTTCTAGATTTTTCCGGGATGGGTTGATTAAGACCAAACTGTCGCATGCACCTATCCGGTTGACATGCCTCAACTGTGTGGAAGTAGATAATAGGTGTGGGAGCTAGCCACAGATACTGCTGCTCTGGAGTCACGTCAAGCCACTCATATTCTATATACGGCTGCCACACCACCTACAAACAAAATGTGAAACAATATATAATGTTACAAAAAAAAAAAAACCCATAGACAAATAACAACACCGTAAGTATCTAACACCAAACCTCATCTCTACAGAGTGTGTCCAATGTTGCCCGATAATGGGTGACCTCATGAGGTTTAAACTTTTGTACAACATTAAACCTGTCAATCAAAAACATTATCAACCATACATAATCGTCCAAAGTCAAGAAGTATACAGTTAGTACATACAATATTAACCATACATTATCGAAATCAAATGAAGTAAATAAATCATACCGGCATCCATTATGTGTGCCCGACTCTGGATGAGGAGGAAGGGGTGGAGCAATGGGTGGGAATCGTATCCATGCCCAAATTTGAAGGAGAATATGGCAACCACCCATGTCGCTTCAACGGGCGTCTGTCACTTCACACAAATTCCTGAACAAGTGTGTCAAAACTGCAGATCCCCAGCTGAATCGGCCAATGTCCTCAAATCCTCCACCTAGCAACGGGACAAGCCGGCAACCAAAATTGCTACCTCCAGACTTGTCCGCCAGCAACCAAGTCCCCAACATCCGGGCAATGTGGGCTTTTGTGAAGTAGATCTCGGCAGCATGATTCCCTTCATGATCAGTCCACCGGGTATAATGTCGATCCAAGAATGAGATGCGGAGGTCGCCAGAATGATGGAACTCACCGGCCTCTGGAACATGTCCAAAAACAGCAGCACAAGCAGCGTGCCAATCCTCAAAGGTCGATCCCATGACGACAGTACCGTCGGTCGGCAAGCCCAAGATGCCTGCCACATCTTGTAAGGTGATCGTCATCTCACCTTGGGTCATGTGAAAGGTATGTGTCTCTGGTCTCCACCTCTCGACCAGTGCACTAAATAAAAATGTATCTATCTGTGATAAATTACGCAGTTATCACGTGTTAACGAATTTTATTATTTAATTACATAAATACAAAACGACATAAATAACATACCTGGATATGTTGCATCCTGGCAACATGTATGAAACCCGCCTGTCTGAGGTACTCTTCCACAACCTGTGGAATAGCACCGGTAGGTGGGCCCCCTTGTGGCTTCCCACGCCTCGTCTTAATCTTTCTTACATGCTCTATTCCACACTCGCTGTGAAATATGACCTTTCTGCGTCCTCTGACGAAGGACCTCCCACCTGTAGGGTCCAGGTACGATCCACATGCTGGGATCGGTGGGCTCTACATCCGAATCAGATCCCGAAGAAGATGATGACTCAACCATTATCCTCAACTAACTACAAAGTTATGCACTCCCGCATTAATAACATCATACATACGAAATTTACAAAGTCTCTAACACTATTTATAAATCACTAATTAATATGCTAAACCCTAATACATAATTAAAAATCAGTAATAATAATAACTACGTAATAATAATATTACTATATCATTACAACATTCATAGCATGACACAAAATTTCTAAGTGACTATCCTAATGTTCCAAGTCTCTAATATACAATCAATCCTAACATGTATTACTAACTAGCACTGTAATTTAAATGTATACATATGAGGTATTATGACCTTACCTACGTTGGCAGAGCTTCGCTACGAACCGCGGTTAGAGAGAGGTTGGAGAAAGGTAAGAGAGGTAAATGAGTAAGGAGTGAAAAAAGAAAAGTGGGGTATATATAGGTTGCACATGAGACGCCCTCTTTGGGCGTCACATGTGACGAGGGCGTCTCATTGTGCAACAGATGTGTAATTTTTTACAAAACAGCATTAAATGCGTAATTATTTTAATTAATTACATTATTTTAATTTTTTTGCCATTTTTTAGATATCGAGGGAAACACGAAAGAGCTCTAACTCTGAATTTTTTTAATAAAATTAATGCATTACTTTTTTTTAACACATCCAAATAAATGGATTCCAAATACACCATCAATTAATTATTTATTTTTTTTAAAAAAATTCAATTGAATATATATATATATATGTATGTATATATATATATATAAAGGGAATAACATCTATCCTTTTAAAGGATATAAACTTATATCCTTTTAGATCCTAATCGTTGATTTCCGTCCATCAACGGTTATAATTTATTGGATTAAAATTATTAATTAATTAATAATAAATTTGGCCAAATAGATTATAACTGTTGATGGACGGAAATCAACGATTAGGATCTAAAAGGATAGATGTTTTTCCCATATATATATTATTAATAAATTATGAATAAGATTTTAGTTCAAAAATAATTGAATTAAAAATATTAAAATAATTAAAAAAATGTTAAAATTTTGTCGTATGTATTTTCACACTGCAAAATAATTAAATTTGTTTATTCTAATAGAATAAGTATTAGGGTAAAAAAATTTAAATATTAATTTTTTAGTAAAAAATTACGAAAACGTAATCGTCTTGAATGTATATACAAATCTATAGCACTCAAATATGCCAGATATGGTGTGTGATCGGTTGGAGAGAGACACGTCCCACAAGGGGCGTGTTCTAGGAGAGAGACATGTCACATGCCTGCATAATCTATAAATATTCCCTTTTTTATTTTTCCCTCTTCACATCTTCTCTCTAAAAATAACCTCTAACTTCTCTCTAAATTTCGTCTTCAGCTTTTTGTGCAGCAAAACTTTGTTACTCAAATAAGTCTCAATACCTGCGTACTATTTTTAATTACAACAATAGATATATTATATTAGTGACGTAGGAAATAATTAGTGGCATAGAAAATGGTTAGTGGCTTAGAAAATGGTTAGTGACTTAGGTTAGAAAATGGTTAATGACTTAGGAAATGGTTAGTAACTTAGGGAAGAATTGGCCACTCACGCCCTGATTAGGCAGGTTTGTCACGCAAGTCACGCCTCATGTGTTGTGTCTCTCTCCTCCAAATCACGCCTCTTGTGGGACGTAGGGGTGTTCATCAACCGATCCAAACCGATTCAAACCGCGGAAACCGAACCGAAAAACCGATAACCGAATAAACCGAAAACCGAAAAACTGACAACCGAACAAAAACCGCAAATTTTAATTGGATTGGATCGATTTTCGGATGGGTTGATGAAAACCGATCAAATCCAAACCGATCCAATATACTAATTTCCCTCTACTTACTTGGTCCTTTCCCCAATCATAGCCCAAAAATTTCTAAACCCAAGACCCATTAACTCATCAACTAAACTCAAGAAAAAACCTAGTCACGTCTCATCAATAAAATTTTATCTATGTAGAGCTTCATATCTCATTGTAAGAAAAATAAAAAAATATAATATCGTTTACTGATATTTTTATATTTCAATTTTTTTTTACAAAGCCAATATATACAAAAGATGTTATTTGCACAATAATCATGAAAATAATTTTAGGATATTCAAAAAACCGAAAATCGATCCAATCAAACCGAAAAAAATTGGATTGGATCGTATCGGATTTGAAAAAAAATCCAAACTGAATGGATGATTATATGATCAAACCGAAAGAACTGGATCGGATGAGTTTTGCTTCCAAAACTGATCCCATCCAGACCGCGAACACCCCTAGTGGGACGTGTCTCTCTCCTACAACACGTCTTCTGTGAGGCGTGTCTCTCTCCAACCCGTCAAATTTCAAATTTGACATGTCATATGAAAATCGTTAAACAAAAGAAGATCGTTGACTCTTATTTGTAAGCATGTGACACCATTGTTCTTTTTTGATCTAACGACTATCAGATGAGGTGTTAAAATTGAAATTTAACACTGGTATCAAAAGATCCTACCTCTCTCTCTATATATAGGGAGGATTATATTTACAATTTTTTTTTACAAACTACATTATGTTCTCCCAGAAGAACACTAGGTTATACTATGTTCTCCCTGAGATAAATAGTATAATTTGCAAAAATTTGTAAATGGACCCTTCCTCTATATATTTATTCAAAACGATCATATTTCCATAATTGGTTTTATTAAAAAAAGCAATATTTTAATTTTTTTTTTCCAGTATTGGTGCTAATATAAAAAAAGACCCACAGAGGAGAAACCCCCAAAAACCCTAACACTAAACCCTTTGCGTCTTCTCTTTGTTCAGCACTGAAATGGCCATGTACACTGTGCTCCGCCGCGTCTCCTCCACAGTGTGGCCTCTGGCTGCGCGGCGCGTCATGGGGGCATCATCTTCTAGAACCTTACACAGTGCACTCTCCGTTGGGCTTCTCCATAGAGAGACAACTCTTATTGTTCCTTCTCTTCGCTTCGTAAATGCCTTCGCTACGAAGACGAGCGCAGATGATAATCTCATTCAAGTCCTCCAATCTGAAATCAAATGCGTCCACGATGACGATCACGCGCAGCAAGTAATTTTTCTTTACTTCTTTTTTCTTTTTCTTTTTTACACATTTTATTTGAACCCCCCCCCCCCCCCCCCCCCCCCCCCCCCCCCCCCCCCCCCCCCCCCCCCTTCCCTACTCTCTAGTCACTGTAATTTTCTTCGAAAAGTTTGTATCTTTAGCTTTACCTTTGCATTTCCCCATGAAAGTTTTTTTTTTCTTTTTTTTTTTCTTTGTTGGGGGTGGGTGTTGTATCTAGGATTGGCAAGACGGGCCAACCCAGCTCGATCCGGCCCAACCCAACCCGCATTTGGCTCGAAAAAATCAAATCAAGTTAGGGTTGACTCAAAAAAAAAAAAAAAAACGAACTAAAAAATCCAACTCGACCCGAGCCGGTTAGGGTTGGCTCGAAAAAGTTAGCTCAAAAAAATGGTTACGGGTTGGCTCATTTTTGGCTCGCGAGTTGACTTCTGGATTAGCTCACGGGTTAGCTCCTGGATTAGCTCAAAAGATGGGTTTTTGTGGAGCTAGTCACATCTGTTCTTCAAAAAATGAGTTTTTATGGAGCTAACACAATATTATCAACATTGCGAAAACTATTGCCTGATAGATCAAATGGTAAACACAATAACTAATACAAACAAATGGTAAAACACAATTATTAACAGAGCAGTGTGTAATTTGGGCTGTACATGATGAATGATGCAGGAAGGTGAGGAGAATTCAATCAACAGAATTATATTATTAATAAAGAGCCTCATTATACCACTAATAATAGCCCCATTAAATCACCAATAAACATCCATAAATACCAATTACATTACTCATAACACCATTATTAAATACGACTTTTCCACTTTCAAACATGCAACCCAGACTGCCCTGAGCCCACACTCAAGGTGAGTGAGTTCCACTTGCTTCTCCTTTTTTATTCTCTGATTAACGGTTTCTTAGTTCGCTTAAGTAATTTGCAAAAAGTAATTCTGGTCCATTCTTAAGCAACGAATAATAATTTTCTTATTTTTTATTAATTCATTTTAACATTATTTTGGAGAAATCAAAGTTAGGTTTTTTAACAGCTCAGATCCTCATCAACTTTCATCTTCTCTGACTTTTCCTGCTAAAGGATTTTGTGCCGGTACTATCTATATCTTAAATCAAATGTGTTTTTTTTTTTTTTTATTATAATCGTTTGAAACATTTATGATGATATTATTCATAAACATTTATGAAACATTTATGTTTATGATGATATTAATTCATAAACAAACTAAGCAAACAGAAAGAGTAAGGAAATGGTGTCGCCTGGTCAGAAAAGAAGAAGAAAGAAAAAAAAAAAAACCCTCAAGTCGTCGCCGGTGTGTGTTGCGTGACTCTATTTGTCATTTTTTATTTTTTTAATTAAAAAAAAAGGTAACCCGCGAGCTGGCTCGTTTCACCCGCGAGTTGGCTCGTTTGAGTTCGGGTTGGCTCGGGTTGGCAGCTCATTTTTGGTAACCCAACCCGGCTCGTTTTCTGCAGGTTACGAGCCAACCCGACGGTTTGGCTCATTTTTGACACCCCTAGTTGTATCTATTGTTAGAGCAAAATGACGTGCTTTATGGGATAAAGTTTGGTTGCTGTTCTTGTTGTTGTTATTGGTGGTGGTGGTGATGTTGAATTTCCCCTATGTTGTTGCCCCTTTTGAAATGAGCTAGAACTTCGCAGATAGTTGATGTGTATGAAGTGGTATAGTTAAGAGTTCAAATGGGTTGTGTGTAATTTTCTGTTTTATTTTTGTCCTGAATTGGTGACATCGGATGGTGTCCTGTTCTTCACAACATTGGTGTGGTTTTTGTAAACTGCTTTGCTTGTCTGCATTTACTGCTCACTTGGTTTTATATGCTTAACCATCATTGAGATTCATCGTTGTGGATATCATAGTTTGGCAATATTATCTGGGTCCTCATAACTGCTGCTGTTGTGCATTTCTGATTTTAATTTTTTGTTCTTGTGGTGGTTTAAGATAAATATGTTTTTAGTGACATATTTTTATAATTCTGATTTTATTTTTCTCCATATATCCAACTCTGTCTTTCATAGTTGTGTGGTATTCTCTGTCTTTGATTCATTTGTATGTTTGAGTTGTTTGTGTATGGTGGTTAATGAAACTCTGCTGTTTTTGGTTACTTACCAGTTACCAAACATGGTTTTACTTGCCTGGATTGAGAAACTTTTTATTTCTGTAAGATATATATTACTTATGCAACTTTCATCTGGCATCATGTGGAAATTAGGTTGGAGATCAGTTAGTTTTCTTTCTCGGTGTTTACATATGCTCTCTTTTTTCATTTTTCCCCCCCACTTCCCAAACCTAATAGATTAACTCATTCTCCTCTTACTTCATATCTTTGACTACAATCACTTATCTCTTTGTGAACGTATGACTTTTTTTACATCATTTGATTCCCTTTGGGCTTATACTTTATATGCTATGATTAGTCTGGTATCAGTGCTGTGTTTTAAGGCATGCTTTCTAATTATGTATTTTATCTCAACAGCTCTTTGAATGCAGCTTTTCAAGGGGTAAAATGAAGTTTTTATTTTTTCTCATTTGAAATGATGTACGAATTTTAGAAAACATCATGATATTGTAAAATTATTTAAGTTATGTTTGGTATATGAAAATATACGGCAATAGTGTCTTTTAGAGGCGACCTTGCACTTAAATTGTGTATTTTAACAAATAAATATAAGATGGCAAAAATGAAGAGCAGTACAACAACATGCAGTCATAGTCTAGGCATAACTGTGTTGGGAATATCATTGTTTGTTTCTGTCCAGCCGGAATTGCTTTTTGGTATTTACAGTTATGTTAGGTCACTCATTGAGTTTGTTGTCTCTTTTGTATAACTTTTCCAGGTTGAAATCCCTGATGATTTTCCTTTTGAGATTGAGGACAATCCTGGAGAAAGAACCATACAACTAAAGAGACAATATCAAGGTGAAATTATCAAAGTTCAAGTTGACATCCCTAATGTAGCACCTGAAGAAAACGAGGACGATGATGATGGGGGGGATGGTGGTGAGAAGAATGATAATGAATCTAGCATTCCCTTAGTTGTGACTATTTTTAAAGGAAATGGAGTGTGTCTGGAGTTTGGCGTGACTGCTTTCCCTGATGAGATTTCCATTGATAGCTTGTCAATAAAGCAGCCCGAAGATTCTGAAGATCAGCTGATATATGAGGGACCTGAGTTCACGTAAGTATTTAGTAATATATGGTATTATCTGATTTTATCATATACTGACCCTTTTACATTTTCTGAATATATCTGTTCCCTTCTTTTTTGCAGTGACTTGGATGAAAATCTGCAAAAGGCTTTTCACAAGTATCTTGAGATTCGGGGTATCAAGCCAAGCACAACAAACTTTTTGCAGGAATACATGATTAACAAAGACAGCAAGGAATACTTAATGTGGCTCGAGAACCTGAAGTACTTCATTGAGAAATGATTTTAGAAAAGAATTGCTTCTTACTATTGAGATTGTGAAACGTTGAAAAAAGCCCTTGTTTTTGGTGTACAAGTGTCGTCCTGTATCATGATTGAGAATTACTGGTGTTTGCAAACAATTCTAAAAAACTTTCTTGGTAAAAGCGTTGTGTATGCTGCCCTTTGTACTTTAACTTCAACCCTTCAATCAATAGTCGCTGGGTGGTTGTCCCATTTACTGTTTACCTTTCATCGTTGAGATGTAATAAGTTTAATGTGTTCACTGCTATTTGTAGTTTGGCTATCACAGCCCATCATTGTCTTAATTTCATCGAGGATTTGCTCTTTTATACTTTCACTCATGCACGTTATTCATGATTACCCGATTCTCTTGCAAGGCTGGATAGTTAAGAAAGGTGTAGAGAGTAAAAAATATTGCCTTAGAATAGTAAGAGGCTGGTAAAAATTTGGGTGCATCAATATGAACTATGCTTGGCAAGGAAAACATACTAGAGACCCCTGATACTTGGAATCTTCCCCAACCTCACATGAAATTGTTTATTTCCCTAATCTAAACTTTTATCTACAATAAAAAATATCAATGTAATTATGGTGTGCCAGCACTCATTATTTATCATGGGCGGCTATGTAACACCGATACGACACGTGACACGACACGACACTCCGACACGTCAATCCTAAAAAATTATGGATTTCGACACGTGGGACACGTTTTAATATTAAATAATATTTTTAATTTATATAGTGTATATTCATTTAATATTTAATAATTTAACAAAAAAATGAAACTAAATTAATAATAACCCATCAACACGTTATAAAGATGGAAGCTTTAATAAAAAAAATAAGAACTGGGATGAGAGAGAGATATAATATCAGATAGAGAGATCAAATCATATTAGAGTGAGAGATCAGAGAGAAGAAGATACAACAAGAGCGTGATAGGAATTGACAACAATAATGTTGAGATGATCTCTTATCAACTTAAGGGGAAAAAAGACAAAAAGACAAAATTGATATGATTAGGTGGAAGCTTTATTAATATATTTTAACTTTTTAAAAAAAGAAAAAAAAAATTTAAAAAAAAATAAATATTTTTTTTTTAAAAAAAATTAAAAAAAATTACGAAAATGCCATTTGACCGTGTCAGACACGGTCAAATTCGCGTGTCGGAATGGTCAACGTGTCGGAAAAAGTCAACCGCGTGTCCGACACCGTGTCGGAGCGTGTCGCCGTGTCGGAGTGTGTCGGACCCGACTCTTTCTGTTTTTACAAGTATCCGTGCTTCCGGGCGGTGTCAATGTAGTGCATGTGCTGAGAAAGGGTAACTAGCCAACGGATTTCATGTTAAATTTGGATCTTAACAAGATGAATATGATATCCATTGGAGTTAGCCACTATATGTGAAGATTGTTTTGGAACCTCCTTGCAAATAGAATTTGCATAGCTTCTTGTGAGAAGGGAAATGGCATAGGCCAAATTACAAGCAAACCGACCTTAAGGGCAACTTAAGATTCAACATTGCTTAGCTTCTTAGGAAGAGTTAGCATTGCTTTCAATTTCCTTCTTAGGAATACAATAATGTTTAATTTTTCTTTTTTAGTTAGATTCTATGTGCTGAAAATAAATAAGATAAAGAAATTGAATTTTGTTGAGATTGTCAAATACAACATGTAAAAATTAATGAAATTCAAAATAAATAATGTTTTGGCAAAAAAAAAAAATGTCAGTATAAATTCTAGAGTCACAAAAATAATTATATGGGTACATTCTTTCTTTCTTTCTTTCTTTTCTGAAATAAATAACTGCTAGCCATATTTTTTCACATACAAAAAAATCTCATTATATTTTTTAAAAACAATCAATTTTTATATTTGAAAACAATTTATCAAAAAGAATATGGTATTCGATTAATCAGGCTATCAATATCATTTTATTTTATTCTTATATTAGAAAGAGTTGCAGATATAAACTAGAACTTGGGATATTTCGAAACTATCTGGCATTTTGATTTTCCTTGAAGCTATCTCGCTTTTTCAGAAGCATAATCACGGGAATCCCCATTGCCAAACAGTGACTTGAGTATGTACAACTTTCCTTCTTCAATCGTTTTCAAATATCAATTCATTGGTTGCTCCGAAGTTCCTGTTAAAAGAGTCATGCAACGATCCAACTTTTTTGCCTAAACCTTTGGTCCATAGCACATACCACTCACACATATAAAGATACATTCAAATAAAACATAATTTTTTTTAGCAATTTGGCTCAAAAAGGGTGTGTATTGCTGCCTTTGGATTTAAAATCTGTTTGTTCTCTTTGTTGTTTTTTTTTTTATTTGTTCAATGTTTAATCACTTTGATTCTTATTTTCTCTCTAAAGATTTGTGTTGTTTTCTGTACCTTGCTTAGGGTTATATGCAAGAGAACATGGACAAAGAAACTGCATATGGGCCTCTACATTTTGATCTGAATACTGGTGCAAAGATGCCATCAGTTGGCCTTGGAACATGGAAAGCTCCACCAGGTGTTGTTGGTGATGCTGTTGTTGCTGCAGTCAAGGTGCTTTCTTTGCATTTTGTGTCTTTTTATTTCTAAGTTTTTCTTGAGATAGGGTTTCATAACAAGAGAATTGGGGGAGCTTCATGTGCTGACTTTTTTCCCTTAATTGAAATTGTAACAATGCTGTTTACAGGCTGGCTACAGGCATATAGATTGTGCTCGGGTATATGAAAATGAAAAAGAGGTAAATTGTTGTTTCCTAATCCTGAAGTCAATAAAATTTTTTTTGGGTGGGCAAGAAAATTTTGTTTTGTTTGCTCTGGCTATCTTGGTACTAGGAAGTTTGTATTTGATGCAGGTTGGTGAGGCATTGAGGACACTGTTTTCTACTGGGGTAGTGCAGCGTAGTGAAATGTTTATCACATCAAAGCTATGGTATGTGTTTGGACTACTTATCCCCAAAGATAACTGACCTCACTTTTTTTGAATTGATGTACTTGGGAGCACTTAATGTGAATTTCATTTACTTATTTGATTTTAATGAAAATATTAGAATTCAAGAAAAATGAAAGATAAACCTAAAATCCCATTTTGGTTTTCTATCAAGAGTAATGAATTGCCTCTGGTTGCCTTGAATTTTTTGTCCTTACAGGATCAGTGACTGTGCACCTGAAGATGTCTCAAAGGCACTGACTAGGACTCTAGAGGACCTGCAGCTTGACTACATTGATCTATATCTTGTATGGTTTTTGATTTTACCTGCCTCTAGCAATGATTTTATGATGTTTGATATTTTAAAAATCACTCTCCATTCAACCTCAACTAACGAGAGTAGGGGTGAGAGCAATCCTTGTACCTTGCATATTTGTAAAGAGGCTATTTCCCGGATTCAAATCCGTAACCTTTTAGTCATGAAAGAGCAGTTTTACCTCTGCTCCGAGCTTGCCCTCTTATGATTGATGATTTTGATAGTCAATTATTTTGTCACAGATGCATTGGCCTTTTAGAACAAAACCAGGTTCAAGAGGTTGGGACCCTGAGGTCATGGCTCCCTTATGTCTTCCAGAGACATGGAATGCAATGGAAGGTTTGTTTGCCTCAGGTCAGGCACGCGCAATTGGGGTGAGCAACTTTTCAACTAAGAAGCTGCAAGACTTGCTCGGATATGGTAAGATCCCACCAGCAGTTAACCAAGTTGAATGCCACCCTGTCTGGCAGCAACCTGCTCTTCACAATTTGTGCAAGTCTACTGGTGTTCATCTCACGGTATTATTCTACTGATCTAAATGATGTCTTTTGGTCCTGTATTTATGTATTTGAGGTTCTGTTGATTGTATTTTGTTAAGAAAAAAATGCTTTCTTACAGGCATATTCTCCTTTGGGCTCTCCTGGATCATGGGTAAAGGGTGAAATCTTGAAGGAGCCAGTGTTGGTTGAAATTGCTGAAAAACTTGACAAGTCTCCAGCACAAGTGGCTCTGAGATGGGGACTCCAAAGTGGTCACAGTGTTCTTCCAAAGAGTGTACATGAATCTCGGATCCAGGAGAACCTTAGCTTATTTGATTGGTGCATCCCTCCGGAGCTCTTCTTAAAATTCTCACAGATTCACCAGGTTTGAATGCCTTTGAAAACATACAAATTAATCATCCTCGTGCACACGTTTATAAGGATTCATCTCATATAAATAGCTGTTTTCTTTTATGGCCAGCTCGCGTCGTGCACAAGTTTATATCAACCTTTTTTTTTTTGTTCAGTTTATTCATTTCTTTGTTGTGTGATGCAGCAAAGGTTACTTCGAGGGGACTTTGCAATCCATGAAACTTTGAGTCCTTACAAAAGTCTTGAAGAATTGTGGGATGGTGAAATATGATATGGAGATTGTTTCTCATTCCCTATAGAAGAAGCTGAGGACTTAATTTGACATTGAATTCTTATTGCTTGATGCAAATTGAAGGAATGTCTCTCCTATCAACATTTATCTTGCCCAAAGACAATCATCCCTCTTCCTAGGTTTATTATGTGAATCTCCATATATGAACAGAAGAAAAGGCTCATTCTGTTTTTTTTTTTTTGGGCTGAGTCCTTCAATATTCATTTTCCTTTTATCTATGAATTTGATATTTCATTGGTGGTATTCAGTTCTATTAAACCGTATAATGATACCTCAAGGGTATGCGCTCAGAGATATCCTATGGATAGGTATCTTGGTTGGCTTATAGCCAATATCCCTATCACTGCGCACAAGTAATAGGCTTATAGTCGAGATGTGGGTGTGTGCACAGTGTGGACAGAAGTAGTAAATGAGTTCAGAGTATGTACCTGGGGTCTTTAACCTCTTATTTATAAGGGTTACCTGCCTAGGCTTGGGCCTTTTGAGCTCCCCAGATTGCATTAGGGTTCAGCTCCCTTTCTGTTGGGATGTGATTCTTATCTTGTGCCATTTGACTGTTTAATGTTGTTGAGATATTCATGAATCTATCTCTTAGTAGATTCTTAGGTGAGTAGTTGGGATATGATATTCATATCCATAACAGGTGAAAAAACAAACAGAAAACAACTGCTCAACAAACTTGAAGTTGATTATAACTAGAGAAAAACAAGACACAGCCGAAAACAACATTTACTACATTAGTCTAGTGAGTTTTACTTGATGCATTTCATTTTGCTTCAAGCACACGTCAACCTTTCTCCTTTTATACAATCTCAATAAATTGTTCAAATGGAGTATTTTTTTGGCCCTTCGACATAAATATCATTTAAACAATGTCCAGACTTTAAAAGATAAAATTGTAACCCGAAAAAAAAAAAGGTCTCGGCTCTCTAAATATCATGGCAGAAAGACACAATTTGGATTACCTACATATGTCCATTGTGGTTATCCGAATCTCCCTCTGATTATCATCTATTACAAATTTTATAAGGCAAAAAAAAATGTTATTTGGGATACTAGTAAGGTTTATAATTTAACTGTTTACCAAATTTTTTTTTTTTTTTATAATTTAACAGATTGTTTTCATCTTTTCTGAAGTAGCTCGAATATCCAAAATGAAGAGAACTTTTTATTGGCCATTTTTTGAAGTAACCGTGTGAATCTTATCACCACCGTAGCATTTGGCTTGAATTTATTGCATACGTCATGTTCGTGGCATTCATCATCCATTTGGGGGGGAGCATAAACAGAGTGATACAGTTAGCTTTTGCAGGTCTAAAATCAGCTGAACTCAGAAGTTCAAGCAACCAGTAACTCCACTCATAGTTGCTAATAACAAAGAATGCAAGCCAGCAATTGGAAAGACAGGAGATAGATAGCTCAATAAGTAAAAATAAAATAAAATAAAATTGTGAGTAGCTAAAAAAAAAAATGATTAATTGCTGGTCCATATTCACGAGTTAACTCAATATCTTGGCGGAAAGAAATCCTCAAATAAAAGATAAAAGATTTATATCACAAGAATCTTAAGCCACTCAACGTTTCTGTGAGAAAAAAAAAAAAACTTACTGAAAGCGAGGACTACTGAGTTTGAAAGTCATGAAGCCATGACGTAAAATGCGAGGACTACACACCCATGCTCGAAAGTATGCCGAGGTCTGCATATGCAGTTTAGTTGTCTTATACAGGGCATAATGTAATCGAGTTTCTATTTATTTATTTTTTCTTTTTGGGTAGACAATAACTTTTCTATTTTTCTCAGTAAAAGTCAAGCTTGCATTACCTGTAATCGAGTTCTTAATGACAATGTTTATCAATACATATACAGTAATTAAATGCAATCTCTACCCTAATAATAGAGATAAGTTATTCTATCTATCTTTTTCTCATATATATCTTACTTACCACTCTCCAATACTATTAGATCAAAATCTTAAAAAGATAGAGAAATAATAAATATTAATTGAAATTCTGATCTAACTATATTAAAGATGATAGGCATGAAAAAAAAAATAGAATAACCTATCTCATAATAATATAATTCAATGACAATATGAGTGTTCATTTTTAATATTGACAAGATAGTATAAACCAGATAAACGCAGTCTCAACTTTGAAGTTAGAACCCTTAAGTGACACCATTTGCTTTCAGGGTCACGTTCATGATTATTGATAATACAAGTTAGATTATGTAGAAGAATAACTAATGTATAATTATTCAACTTCACAAGGATGTAATGCTTCAGATGACAAGAGTCAATATATATTTCTATTTTTCACTGTCTTAAACAGTACTTTATTAAAGAACAACGAAGTACATAGCTAAATAATATAATTAATAGAGTTATTTTCTTCCCCCTGAACATGCTCCAGGTAAGAAAAAAAAATCTGGAAAGGGGTAAATGGCAGTTAAGATTATACAGTGCCAGCATCACAGCAGTTTCTGTATAAGAAAAATAGAACAGAAAAAAGCTGCTGGTCTGATGAGGTGAACCACAATTATCCATAGTAAACTTAAACTAATCCCTGGCTGCATAGTCATGGCTTTATTGCCATTTCCTTGAAAGTATAAGTGACCCCTCGATCCCCATCTACCACCTGCCCACTCCCTCTCAATATCCTGCATTATAGTGTTTGATTTAGCCTAGCTTAATATATATATATATATATATATATATATATAGAGAGAGAGAGAGAGAGAGAGAGAGAGAGAGAGAGAGAGAGAGAGAGAGAGAGAGAGAAATGAATGAAGACATGGTATTGAAAGCGTACAGCGTTTTAAAAAATATTTCTAAAAAAGTGTACATGATTGAGAAAGTAAAAATAACACAAAACATAACACACATTAGAAAAAGTTCTCTTGGGAGCCATTTGGCCTTCACTATATCTGGATCGAAAAGCTGAAAACAATACATATATTTTTTCGAAAAAAGAAAAAGAAAAAGAAAAGGTTCAAGCACAATTGTTTGCAAATTCATCAACAATTGTAAATGTTTGATCAGTTGATGTTGTATTTTCTTTTAATAAAAGGAAGCACAAGAGACATTGCAGAATTCCATACCATCTATTCGTTAATAACCCCTCAACTCCTACGGGACCTCTGGCATGAATTCGGCTTGTGCTTATTCCAACCTGATTAACAATTAATAAAACCAAGAACAGTTGAGAAAATATAAATAACCATACTGCTATTATTTCAATGTGCTCTCTGGAAAGAGCACTACCTCTGCACCAAGGCCAAAGCGTGCTCCATCACAAAACCTTGTACTTGCATTGAGGAATACAGCAGCACTGTTTGTACATCAAGAAAAATTGCATATTCCATGGTCAGCAACATCAAGTCAGGAAGAATGAATATCATTTAATGTTAAAGGATTAGGTTCAAATGAGATATAATAAGTGTTCCCAATGCATGTTAGAGACAAAATTGAAGATTTTGAAGAAGTTATTCGTATGTGAAGGTAGAAATAGAGTGGTGGAGATAAGGGTGAAGAAAAATGCATCATGATCCTCAAAAGTGAAGTGCCCAGTTTAGAGGGAAAAAAAGGTGAATCTCTTCCACCCCACCTTTGGTTAAATAAATTTAGAATTATGCAGTCAGTTACGAAGTTTTCTTCGTTGAAGTCCAAATACACACAGCTAGTTGATCGTTGCATGTAATATCTTCTGAATCCTTTTTTAAATTCAATGATGGGACAACTAAATTTTTATCAGGATACATAGATGGAACTTAAGAAAAAAATTAGATGTCGGGACAAATTTAATATCCAATATCAATAATAGTGTATTCAAACTTTGGAAAGTGAAGAAATTACTAGTTCTGACAAATTACAGCAGTATTTGAAGTAAACTACCATTTCATCATGCTACATTAGAATATGTTGGCACTTGGCACTGGCAGCAGCAGATCAAACAGGGTTGCCGGAAAAAGAAATAAAAATTACAGACTTACCTGTCAACTTGACTTAAGAAAGCCTCAGCAACTTCAGAGTCTTCTGTAACAACGCATTCAGTATGAGCACTGCAGAAACAGGAAACAAAGAAATAGACTTTCAGCATAATAATGTTTATGAAACAGAGAATCAAAATGTAGATTTTGCAGAGGAACCCAAACTTGCCTTCCATGTTGATGTATGTGGTCAATGGCAGCAAAAACATCATCTACAATTTCAACCGTACAAGCCAGTGAGCTATACTCATGATGGAAAGAGCTTGTTTCAGCAATGTTTAATAAGGCACTGGTTCTTGGTCCACCATACAGTTTAACACCTGCATGTAGATTGATATACAGCAGCTATGTTATCCTTTCCCAGTTTGACAGCATGGTTTAGACCAACCACGTCCAAGTAATCATTAAGAAAAAAAAGACTACTCCATTTGACCATATACCCCTAAAATAAATAGAAAGAAAATAATTTTCAGTTTCATAAACTCTGAAACTGATACCCTCAAAAGTCAGAACAAAATGATCACTTTCTAACAATACGTATAGGAGCAACATTATCAATACGTATTATCCAACAATACTTAAAAATTGCAATAAATGGGACACTTGCTAGTTTTTAACACGGGAAAAAATCGGATTAAGTAAGTGGGATTTATGAATATCATGAGTTTGTGTCATGTTGTAGAAAATCTCACGTGGGGTCTCTATAACATGACATAACTCCCTCATACAACATTGTTAAATCTCATAGATACAAGAGGAAATGATAGTAATCCTTGTTGTATTAAACTACACAACATTGGTGCTATTATGTAGCAAACCAATTGAAGAATACAAAGAGACACACTCAATGTGGGACTTCTACACTATTAACACTAACACTCTTAACACTCCCCCTCAAGCTGTAGCATATAGATCATATGCTACAAGCTTGATACATAAATAATATTCCCATTAGGAACCAAAAACAACAATGCTACATCAACGAAATGAAATGACTAAGTACAACAAATCAACTGGAATGACCATCAGTCTGAAGAGCTGATAAAGAGACAGTGCTGAAATGGACATCAGAGCATGGATGGTGCCGGAATTATCATCGGCAAAGACAACTGAGCTGACCAGGACATCAGCATCAAGATCCCTCTTAGACATTTCATTTAACAGTTGGTGAGCAGCCGTGGTTTCCCCTTGACTATGTTACAAGTTTATTACAAGAAAGACCAAGTAACATAACATCAAAATAAATCTCCTAAATGAGAAACCAAAAATCAACAATGTGCTAAAAATGGCGTCGAAATGAACATCAACATGGAAGATGCCGGAATGATCATCGGCAAAGACAATTGTGCTGGAATGACCATCAGCAACATGGACAGTGCTCCCCCTCAAGAGGAACTTCGGTGTCGGAATTAACATCAGCGGAGACAACGTCAGGAATTTGGACACTGCTCCCCCTCAAGATGGATGATGAATAGTATAAATACTCAATCTTGGGAAGAAAGAAGATTAAAGAAAAACAAAGCTTCGCAGAATCGGAAAATTCGCCGGAGACAGCGGTGGGTCGTCGGAAAAGTCGTCGGAGACAGTGGTGGATCGCCGAAAAAGTCGCCAGAAAGTCATCAGAAAAGTCACCGGAAAAGTCGCCGGAGACGGCTGTCAACGGTGGACGACGCGGTCAACGACAACGGTGGTCAACCCAACAACTTCCCAAGGATTATTCTTTTCTGATGTGACAGATCAGTCTAAGCTGCAGTCACAGAGCATACTAAGAAAAACCCAAAAAAGAAATAGCAACGGGAATCCCTCAAGGAGGGTGATATCTCTCTATAACCATATTGAAATTATGGAAAATAGAACTAAGTTAAACGGATTAAGATTCCTCTTGTTAGGCTCTAGATACCATGTTGAATATCATAGATACAAGAGGAAATGATAGTAATCCTTGTTTAAACTACACAACATTGGTGCTATTATATAGCAAACCAATTGAAGAATACAAAGAGACACACTCAATGTGGGACTTCTACACTATTAACACTAACACTCTTAACAAACATGATATTCATAAATCCCTAAGTATAAAGAAGAAAAATAAACATCGTATGATATAAAAGTATAAAACTGATGAAAAGAAAAAGTGTTTTTCTGTATAACACTATTGATTGATTACATTGAGAGACCCAATAGGTCCTATTTATATTGAGTACAAAGAACAATGCTAATAAATAGCAACAGTAAACTAAGAGGCTTATTTACAATAACAAGAGACATTAATAAATAAGGGAACAAATAGCAAGGAAGTAATAAATGATAATCTAGAATATTCTACACTCCCCCTCAAGTTGGGAGATATATATTGATCATTCCCAACTTGCTGATCAAATCCTCAAAGGTCGGCTTAAGTAAACCTTTGGTGAGAATATCTGTCGTTTGTTCCTTGGTAGGTATATATGACAAGCATACACTACCGTCTTCTAATTTTTCTTTGATAAAGTGACGATCGACTTCCACATGTTTTGTTCTGTCATGATGGACAGGATTTTGAGCAATGCTGATAGCAGCTTTATTATCACAATATAATCTGATAGGTAGGGAATAAGAGATCTTCAACTCTTCCAGAAGCCTTCTTAACCAAATTCCTTCACAAATACCATGGGCTAAAGCCCGAAATTCCGCTTCTGCACTGCTTCTTGCAACAACAGTTTGTTTCTTACTTCTCCAGGTCACAAGGTTTCCCCAGACATAAGTACAATATCCTGAAGTAGATCTTCGGTCCATTGCAGAGCCAGCCCAGTCTGCATCTGTATAAACTTCAACCATCCTTTTGTTCCCCTTTTTAAAGAGAATTCCTCGACCAGGGGTGTTTTTGAGGTACTTGAGAATTCTATAAACAGCACTAAGGTGTTTTTCCTTAGGAGAATGCATGAATTGGCTAACCATGCTCACAGCAAAAGCAATATCAGGACGAGTGTGAGACAAATAGATTAATTTCCCCACTAGTCTCTGGTACTGCTCCTTATCAACATCCTCCCCGTCCTCAACTCCCATCTTGATATTAGCTTCAATTGGAGTCTCTGCTGGCTTGCACCCAAGCATACCTGTTTCTTGCAACAGGTCTAGAATGTATTTTTTCTGAGTTAAGGAAATTCCTTCCTTACTTCGAGCAACTTCCATGCCAAGGAAGTATTTGAGAGATCCAAGATCTTTTAGTTCAAACTGATCAGCTAAACATTTTTTTAAAGAGGCTATCTCCTCGGTATCATTACCAGTGACAATTATGTCATCAACATAAACAATGAGGATAACAATTCTACCTTTGTCAGAGTGTTTAAAGAATAAAGTGTGATCAGTCTGAGCTTGGGTGAACCCTCTTCCCTTAACAGCTTGAGTAAATTTCCCAAACCATTCTCTGGGAGATTGTTTAAGTCCATAGAGAGACTTCTGCAACTTGCACACAGAACCATCCCCTTTTTCAAAACCAGGAGGTGGATCCATGTAAACTTCCTCATGTAGATCACCATTCAAGAAGGCATTCTTGACATCTAACTGTTGCAATGGCCAATCAAGGTTGGCGGCAAGAGATAGCAGAACGCGGATAGTGTTAAGCTTGGCAACAGGAGCAAATGTCTCCTGATAATCAATCCCATGAGTCTGAGTAAATCCCTTAGCAACTAATCTGGCCTTATACCTGTTGATGCTGTTATCTGCATTAAATTTTATTGTGAACACCCACTTGAAACCAACAGTTTTCTTTCCTTTAGGTAATGTCACAAACTCCCATGTTCCATTTTTTATAAGTGCATCCATTTCTTCTAATACGGCGTTCCTCCATTTTGGGTCATCAAGTGCTTCTTGGATATTTTTGGGTATCCTGGTACTATCTAACATAGTGTTGAAAGCACGAAAACCTGGAGATAACTTCTCATATGAGATATAATGGGAAATAGGATGAGCAGTGCAAGATCTAGTACCTTTCCGAAGGGCGATGGGCATATCAATGTTGGCTGTGCTAGTGCATTCAAGTGGGTTGCTAGAGCAAGGACTCGAGTTAGGATCCTGGCAGTCTAGAGTCTCTTGATGTGTTTTGCGCCTGCTGTAGAATTTTCCCCATTTACCAGGAGGATCACAAGGACTGGGAGGATCATTAGACTCAGGTATAGTTGCTCCCCCTGTTTCCTTCCCAATAACTCTCCCTGTTTCCAAAGGCCAAGGTAAGACAGCAGCTTCATTTGGTTTCCCAGGCTTATCTTCATCCATACCAGTAGACTCCCCCTGAAGAGAAGTCGGGGGAAAAAAGGATCGTGTCTCATAAAAGGTAACATCCATGGAAACAATGACCTTACGGAGAGAAGGTGAGCAACACTTATAGCCTTTTTGATTAGGGGAATATCCTATGAAGACACATCTAATAGATTTAGGGTCAAGTTTGGACCTTTGATGTGGAGGAATATGTACAAAGACCACACAGCCAAATATTTTTGGAGGAAGAGAAAGAGCACAGAAAGAAGAAAAAGATTTAGTAAGGCAGGATAAAGGAGAATGAAAATTTAGTACCCGAGAAGGCATTCGATTAATGAGATAAGAAGCTGTCAAGATGGCTTCCCCCCACAGATATTTAGGGACATGCATCGTGAATAAGAGAGCTCGAGCAACTTCAATTAGATGTCTATTTTTCCTTTCAGCCACCCCATTTTGTTGAGGGGTGTTAGGAAAAGAACTTTGATGAATAATTCCATGCTGGTTTAAGTAATCTCCAAGAACATAATTAAAATATTCAGTGCCATTGTCTGTTCGCAAAATTTTGATAGGAGTCTGGAATTGAGTTTGAATCATAGCATGAAAATTTTTAAAAGTGGATGCCGCATCAGACTTATCTTTTAAGAGATATACCCAACATACCCTAGAATGATCATCAATGAAAGTAATAAACCAACGAGCACCCGAGACATTTTTTTCACGAGCAGGTCCCCAAATATCACTATGAATCAATGTAAAGGGAGAAGATTCATGATATTTCTTAGGAGAATAAGTGACACGAGAATGTTTTGCAAGCTGACAAATATCACAAAGAAAGGAACTTGGCTTTTTATTGATAAATAAGTTAGGGAATAACTTCTGAAGATAAACAAAATTTGGGTGCCCTAACCTACGATGCCATAACAAAACATCATTACAATCATCTGATAAACATAGAGAGTGGTTTGAAAAAATCCTCCTTTCACAAAGATCCTCCTCCAAATAGTATAGCCCTTCTTCCTCTCTAGCACTGCCAATCATCATCCCCGAGTCCTGCTCCTGAAAGATACAAGCATTTGCAGAAAACTTAGCAACACAATGCAACTCAGCAGTAAATTTGCTAATAGAGATGAGGTTACAAGTAAGGGAGGGAACATGAAGGACTGAGTTCAAAATAATATGTTCAGAAAGTTTAATGGATCCCTTGCCCGCAATAGTGGAGAAATTTCCATCAGCTGTTCTTATTCGTGATGGGTGATAGTAAGGGGTATAGGAGGAAAATAAGGTTGCATTACCTGTCATGTGATCAGAGGCTCCTGAATCAAGGATCCAACGATTACTACGTTCAACATGGAATGCCATACCTTTTTGAGCAACATGACTAGTTGCCTCGGCAGGTTGAGACATCAATTTTTGAAATTGCTCATACTGGGCCTTAGAGAGGAGAACACCATCGGGGTTTGAAGGGACATGAGACCCCTCCCCCTTATCTTCAGAAGATACTTGATTAGCACGATTCTTGTTCTGTCCTTTTGGTTTCCAGTTTGGTGGTTTGCCATGAATTTCCCAACATTTTTCACGGGTGTGACCACCCTTATTGCAATGAGAACACCAACGGTCAGAACGTTTTGAGTCCCCAGAAGGACGAGCAGTTTTCTTTGTTATAAGGGCTGACCCATCAGAGGACTTAGAGTCCTTATCACCCAACATTACCTTTTGGCGAAGCTCTTCCCTTCGTACCTCAGAAAAGGCAGTGGCAATGGAAGGTAATGGGTTTTGCCCCAAAATTCTTCCACGAACATCATCCAGATCAGAATTAAGGCCAGCAAGAAAATCATAGAGACGCCTTTTCTCTATATAATTTTTGAATATTGCATTAGCGTCTAAACCTTGAAGGTCTGCTTTATCATAAAGATCCAACTCTTGCCACAATGTTTTTAGAGCAAGGAAGTATTCAGTAACAGTCATCCCTCCTTGGCGTAAATCTTTCACCTTGGTGTTGAGTTCAAAAGCCTGAGAGGCATTGCCCAGGTCAGAGTAGTATTCTTTAACAGCTTCCCAAATTTCTTGAGCCGTATCAAGGAATAAATAAGTTTGACTGATATCCGGTTCCATAGAATTAGTCAGCCATGTCATGACCAAAGCATTTTCAGTCACCCAAGCATCATAGCCAGGTTCATGTTCTGCTGGTTGAACCTTTTTTCCATCCAGATACCCCATCTTCCCTTTGGCCTGGATAAACAACTTAACAGATTGACACCATTGCACATAGTTTCTACCGTTTAAACGGTGATTGGTGATCTGCATTGCTGGGTTGTCTCCAGAAGACGAAGAAATGGGAAGGGGTGAGGTTCCTGTCGAAACACCAGATGAATTTTCAACAGTTTCAGTGTCCATGGCTTCCTAACAACAATACCCAGAAAACAAAATTCCTCCAAATATGATTTTGACCCTCAAAACAGGAAGAGGGAAGCCAGACGATTAGAACGGGGTATGACCCGCCGGAAAAAAATGATGGGAGGGCGGCGCGTGGACCACACGCGCCGGCGAAGCTGAAGGATGTTGGTGGCGCGTGGCGGCGCTTGGCTGGGTCTCCGGCGACGGGTCTTGTGTTGGCTGGCTCGGAATTTTGTTCTGGACCTAATGGTGGCCTTGGTTTTGTGGTTGGAGGTGTCTAGGTGAGGGTTCTGGCCTTGACAGAGGCAAAAAACGAAAAAAAGAATGGAAGGGAAGTCAGAACAGGGAAGAGACTGGATTTGAACCAGCTCTTGATACCATGATGAAAAGAAAAAGTGTTTTTCTGTATAACACTATTGATTGATTACATTGAGAGACCCAATAGGTCCTATTTATATTGAGTACAAAGAACAATGCTAATAAATAGCAACAGTAAACTAAGAGGCTTATTTACAATAACAAGAGACATTAATAAATAAGAGAACAAATAGCAAGGAAGTAATAAATGATAATCTAGAATATTCTACAAAAACTAATACAGCAAAAAAAAAATTAATTATGTAAATGTTATTAAAAGAGAAGCTAAGAAAGATTTAAAAAAAATAAAATAAAATTTCGAATCAGAATGCAAGTTTTGTTCATTATAAATCATTTGCAACTAAGGTCAAAACCTTCTTCTTGGAGTTCAGCAACAAGTTCATCAAGTCCTCCATTTCTTGACAGATCCTTGTGTACAAGAAGGGTTTCCTAAGAACATCAAAACACAATATTGTAATGAGCACAGTCGACAGATTCAATTTACATCATGAATCGCAAATTAGGAAAACCCAAAAGGAGATATGGATATTGATGCACATATAACAGTGGGGGCATTTCAGGGGATGTAAACTGTAATTACCATTGCATTGCAGGCTGCAGGATAATCAATCTTTGCATCCCTAACAATCTGCTTTGCCATATCCATATTAGCTGATTTGTCAACATATACATGACATATTCCATCTGCAAAAAATAACACTGTAATAGAATCCTAGTTTGTAATTGTAACCACAAATAGGAAACTTATATGTATGTATTACCAGCATGACCAAGAACAGGAATCTTTGTTGAATCCTTGATTTGAGAAACAAGCTTATTACTGCCTCTGGGGACCACAAGATCTATTACATCATCAAGCTGTGGCAGAGTATAATTAGTTGAAAATCATCTCAGACAAATAAATGACAGAAATTTTACTTGTTTCCACCTTGAGCAAATCTGGAATTTCTTCTCTTGAAGTCACAAGCCCAATAAGTTTGTCACCAACTGTATCTGGAATAACTGCAGTAATCACCTACAATAATGAAGAAATATTAAAGATGAAAACATGTTTATAAACTAAAATTATGACAGCGTACAATTCTGATTCGGATTAATCAGGTAAAACAACAGCCTGCTATAAAATAAATAGACAAACCTTGTGTAAGACTGCGTTTGATCGTTTGGCTTCCTTTCCTCCTTTAAGTAGTAAACCATTTCCACTTCGAATTGCCAATGCAGCTATCTATTAGTCCATTTAAACAAATATCTTAAAGATCAATCTTCAATATTACGAAACAAATTTTCACAAATTACTTGATCAGTAACGCTAGACTCAGTATACTAGATGCAGAATTTTTAATCATGGTCATATCTTTAACATTTTTATTCAGGTTGCAGGATTGATAATTAAGAATTACAAGTAGGTTTCTTATCTTAACCTGAACAAGAGCATCAGGTCGAGACTCAAATATAACCAGGAGGACACCCAAAGGACATGATATTTTCTCCAGGATGAGTTTATCTGCTAGCTGGACACAAAGAGCAGTAATCAGAACTGTCTAAATTGTGTTGAACAGTAGGAAGCAAGTTTTCATAACATTATTCACTTTCCAGAATTTGTTATTGAATAATTGCAAAAGGCAAATATTAGAATAATTAAAAAATTTAAACATTTAAAGTTGAATATTACAATGTCACAACCTATTTCACGTGCTACTTATTAACTAATTAATGACATAATTGTATAGGGGGTTTCGACCTCAGTTCTCTTTAAAATCTGACCAATGGGTTCTTCCATGTCCGCCAGCATGCGAACAGACTTTGCAAGACTAGAGATCTGAAAATACAAAAAACAAGGTCAGACTAAAACATGCTCAATTAAAGAGAAAACTTCACAAAACCTGCTTTGGAAAGTGACAAGTCAATGTTATTTGGACAGTGACAACAACAAAAAGCAGGGCAAGTTATCTTTCAATTTTTCATTTCAATAAGTGTTGTAAATATTAGAATTATCTCTAGTTGATATTGTAATTATTTGTTTCCTTTTCTTCTTAGGATTCCTGTCTTTTTTAGTATTTGGGTTTATTCCTTTAAGCCTATTAAGCTTCTATAGTGTTTGTATTTTAAACAATCGCAATAATATTCACTCTTTCTTTCAAGTTGGTAACAGAGCTCTCGATCTAGGAGCCCTCTTAGCTTCCGCATTTGCAGCTTTGAGAGCAGACTCCCTTTCTGACAATCTCTGGCACCTAGCCGCCACAGGAAAAATTTTCAGGAACCTCTTTGGCCCGAGAAGACCACCTTTTATCTCAAAATTTCCTGATCTACTGATCTACGATAATTTCACGATCAGAAGAAGACCTCACGCTTCTCCGATTGCATGTAAAAGTCTCCAACAACTATTCAGATTCTGGCCGACCACTTTTTCGGCAGCTTTTGACCTCTGACTACCCACAGAATAGCTCACACCACCGGGAACCACCCTTGCACAAAAGCCCACTGCTGCCGAAGCCCTCATGCGCGGCCTAGACTCTTTGCGCGTGGGACTCACGCTTCACCACTTTCCCAGCGTGTGACGGCGCATTTAGCCGTCGTTCTGCCTCAGACCACCTCGATTGTAATTGTCTTGACTTCCCAGCTCCAAATTTGTCCTTACCTGCTTGATCAGACACTTTTCCAGTAGTGGGTCTTTGATCTCGTCATAAAAATTGAATTTTTTTTAGCCACTCAAGTCTCCTTCGATCAGATCTGACATACTTGTTACTGTTTGGGACGTTCAGAGGCTTCTACGGTACTTACCCGCTCATTTTGTGTTGTTTATTTGTGTCTAATGGTTCTTTTTTGACCTTTAAGCACTATATCGGACATTGAGAGCACTACAACCGATCAACCACAACCTGTTACACACCCCATGGCTCCTCTTTGTCCAAATGATCTTCCCGAACTCCAACAAAATTGTCGTCTTAATGGAAAAAATTATTTGCAATGCTCCCAGCTTGTTCGAACGATCCTCAAAGGACGTCATAAGATTTCTCATCTTGAAAGACCTGTCCCTGCCAAAATTGGTCCAAAATTTGTTGATTGGGATGATGAATAATCTCTTATTATGACATGGCTATAAACTCTATGCCTCCTGAAGTTAGTCAACATTGCATGTTCTTACGTACTGCTCTTGAGATCTGGGTCGCTTTTAGGCAGACTTACTCAACGAAGAAAGATGCCACCACCTGATATGATATGAGGAATAGGATTTTTTCTACCATGTAGGGCTCTTTTTCTGTAAGAGAATATTATGATATTATGAATGGATTGTGGAGTGAGCTTGATCAATACCAGAGTTTGACAATGGAGTGTAGCAAGGATGCACCACCCTGGCCGCCTTAGTTGAAAGGAAACGATCTTTGATTTTCTTTGTGAACTCAACTCAGAGTATGACTCTATTCGGGTTCAAATTCTTGGTAAGGAAAAATTACCTTCTCTTTCTAAAGTTTTTAATCTCCTCAGACATCCCTTCTGTGAATGAGTCCGCAAATGCCTGGTGAGTTACTATTATTCGTCGGAGGAATTGGAACGGCTTAGGTCCGTGTTTGAATCTCTCAGTAAGCCCTCTAGTACTGGTGCTTTGGCTATGACTAGTAAGAACACAAGCGCTCAATCTCTTATTACTTCTTGCATTAATTTCAAAATCTCACGAATTGTGGATTCTGGTGCTACTGATCATATGACTTGTTGCACTAACTCATTTCTCTCTTATGATCCTACTATTGGTATCCGTACTATAGTTGTAGCTAATGGATCACACACGTCAGTTGTAGGTTTTGGTAACATTCAAATTCAACCCTCCTTGTGTTTCAAGAATGCTCTTAATGTTCGCAACCTTTCTACCAACCTCCTTTCTATCCATAAGCTTATTACAGATTTGAATTGCACCGTAACCCTTTTTTCTACTCATTGTGCTTTTCAGGATCTCACCACGGGGAAGACGATTGGAGTTGCTAAGAAGTAAGGTAGGTTGTATTATTTGGTTCCAGAATATGCTGCATAAGGTACAAAGGATCAGATATTGATGACTTATCAGTCTACTTCAGATTCTCTTATTTGGCTTCATCATAAGTGTTTCGGGCATCCTCCTTTTAGTTTGCTTAAGTCTATGTTTCCGTCTTTATTTATGTCATAGTCTGTTGGGTCTTTTCATTTTGATATTTGTGAGTTTCTTCCTTCTAGTGAAATAAAAATTGTTGAATCTTTTGCTATTATTCATTCTGATATTTAGGGGCCTTCCAAAGTCCCTAATGTTTCTGGTGCTAAGTGGTTTGTTTCTTTCATTGATGATTATACTTAGATAACATGAATATTCTTGATGAAAGACAAGGCAAAGGTAACAAAGTTGTTTATCCAATTTTATTATATGATTGAGACACAGTTTGGTAAAAGTATCAAACGCTTGAAATCAGATAATGGTATAGAATATGTCAATCACCGTCTTTCCCAGTTCATTAAAGACAAAGGTATAGTTCATGAACTCACATGTGTGAATACCCCTTAACAGAATGGGGTTGATGAAAGAAAAAATCTCCATCTGCTTGAAGTCACCAGAGCATTACTATTTCAAACATCTATACCCAGCTCTTGCTGGGGAGAAGCCATATTAACTACAACCTATTTGATCAACCGCTTACCTTTCCGATTCCTTGACCATGTAAGTCCTGTTCATATTATGACCTACTTTTTTTCTTTTGTTCTAATTATGCAGAGTCTTTAGCCCCACGTGTTTAGGTGTGTTGCCTTCATCCATATCCATAAACAACATCGGAGTAAATCAAAGCCTAGAGCCCTTAAGTGTGTCTTTCTTGGTTATGTTTCCAACAAGAAAGGATACAAATGCTACCATCCTCCAAGTCATAAGTACTTTGCCTCTATAGATGTTAGCTTCCATGAATCTCACGTAGACCCTCAACTTCAGGGGGAGAACAATATAGAAGCTTCATCTGATTTCTTCGAGTCGGAGTCTCCCTTTCCATTACCTACGCCTACACCTCTTACCCAGTAGCTACACTATATGATAATGAAAAGGAAGACTTAGTTAATGAGGCTGAGAGTTCATCTGATACCTTATGTGATATGCCTCCTATCGATCGACAGGAAGTACGAAAAGCTGGGACACTCGAACTACTATACCAAAGGAAGAAACAACCCACATTACCCCATCAGTAACTACAATCACCTGAATCGCTGGTAAGTACTGAATACATTACTTCTTATATTGCTGAGCATGATATTACCCATTGCTATAATGAAAAGGAAATGGTCTTGTATCCAACATCCTGTCTCTTATTTTCTCTCCTCTAAGAATCTTTCTATGCAGCATAGAAGTTTTATTACAACACTTTACTTCATTTCAATCCCGGCATCAGTGCATTAAACATTAAAGGATGATAATTGGGTTCAAACCATGCGTGACAAGATGAATGCTTTGGAGAAGAATAATACATGGGAAGTCGTTGACAGGCTAAACAGAAAAAAGGCAGCAGGGTACAAATGGGTGTATACTCTGAAATATAATTCTGACGGGTCTCTTGAGAGGGATAAGGCTCGGTTAGTAGCCAATAGAGTACATACAAACCTATGACTTTGATTACAAAGAAACATTTGCTCCAGTGGCCAAAATAAATACTGTAAGAGTTTTATTGTCCCTTACTGCTCACTTTAATTGGGATTTGAAAAAATTTGATGTGAAAAATGTCTTCCTCAATGGAAAATTAGAAGAGATTTACATGGAGATTCCACCAGGATTTGACTCTATAATGGAGATAATAAAGTTGCAGATTAAGAAAAGCGTTGCATGGCTTGAAGAAATCCCCACATGCTTGATTTGGAAGATTTACCAAGGTTATGATTTCATTAGGATACAAGCAAAGTCAAGGAGATCACATACTTTTCTTCAAACATTCTCAGCAAGGTAAGCTCACTATCCTTCTAGTTTATTTTGATGACATTATTATAACAAGGGATGATATAGGTAAGAAATATACTCTGCAAGAAAGACTGACTGTTGAATTTGAAGTTAAACATCTTGGAAAACATAGATATTTTCCTGGGGTAGAGGTTCCCCATTCGAAGCAAGGGATCTTTATTCGTTAACGAAAGTATGTTCTTGATCTCCTTAAAGAAGGAGAAAAACTTGGATTTAAACCTTCCAGTACTCCGATTGAATAGAATCACAAACTAGAAAGTGAAAATGAGAGCCCTCCAGTTGGCAAAGAACAATATCAACAAATGGTGGGAAGATATATGTGGCTCATACTAGACCTGATCTAGCTTATGCAGTTAGTAATTTTAGCCAATTCATGCATGATCCAAGGGAAAAACACCTGCAAGCAGTGAACATGATTCTCCATTATCTAAAAGGCATACCAGGAAGAGGACTATTATTCTAGAGAGGAGGAAACTTGTCCTTGGATGTTTATACAGACGCCAATTATGTTGGATCCGTGACTGACTGACGGTTCACCTCGGGCTATTGTATGTTTCTCTATGGAAATCTAGTAACATGGAGAAGTAAATAGCAAAATATGGTTGCTACGTCAAATGCAGAGGCAGAACCTCGAGCCATGGCTTAAGGTATCTGTGAATATTATGGCTGAAAATCATTCTTGATGATCTCAAGGTGAGAAACTAGACTGTGGACTGATCACTACTCCATATATTCCTTCTGGTCGTCAACTGGCTGATGTCTTGACAAGCTAACAAGCTAAATATCTACTGATAGGTTTCAAAAACTTACTAACAAGCTAGTAATGATAAATATCTATTCTTTAGCTTGAGGAGAAGTATTGTAAATATTAGAATTATCACTAGTTGATATTGCAATTATTTGTTTCCTTTTCCTTTCCTTTTTAGTATTTGGGTTTATTCCTTTAAGCCCATTAGGCTTCTATATATTGTGACCTTTTGTTTGTATTCTACACAATAGCAATAATATTCACTCTTTCTTTCAAGTGTAAGTAACCAATTAAGTTCTTGCCTTCTCAGGTTTCAGGGTTAAACGTGATATCAGTGATTTCTCATATCCAGCCTCCTCTGCATCAGCAACATCAGCTCCATTCTCAAGCCTTATCATGTTTTCATTTTTCTCCAATGCATCAGCCACTTCCAGCAATATTTTCCTCCTTTCTTCAGAATTTAGGACCTGAAACCGGAAGAAATTAGTATAACTTAATCACCACTTAAAGAAATCCATGAAACTAGACCTCCTTGCTGTTCACATTCTAACCTGAAGTCGTCTAGAACTATCACGTGCTGCAACTGCCAGTTCATGTGCACTCACTTCCTTTATGTTGGCCCATAAATTAGCATCTTTGTGAAAGACAGTACCAATTCTTTCTCCTTGAAGCACTCGTATGATGTTGTCTGTAGCATAGCCACTTCAAAAGATGTTGAAAAACAATTTGAAGTCAGCAAAAATGCAAGGCTCCATACTATGCAGTATGCATGTAATTATAAAATACAAGCATGTAATTTTCATAAATTCAAAATAAAGGAAATGATGGACTTATTTTCATCACTTGAAGTACAGAGTAATAATGGAATTTAAAAAAAAATAAAAAATAAATAAAAAATAAAAATAAATAAATAACAAAACAAGGGAAATGAGCATTGAATGGAATAATCGTTCCTGTATAATGAACATGATGTTAGAGGAACATCTACATTGCATGTTCAGGTCAACTGATCATGGATATCCATAACCAGCTTAAAATGATGTATGCAGTTTCACAACCAAGAAATTTACAAACCAGTTCATACGAGAATCCCATTCATTCCATTTTATTCCTGATGCTTTGTCCATTATTTTATGACAGGGAATCACTACTGCCTCTAATAGTCAAAACAAAAATTAATTAATTAAAACAATTTCTCTTTGGATATGTTGGATCTGAAAGTGACACACAAATAGTTACTTTCAGTGTCAATATTTTCCTGCATCAGTGAATGCTCGGCACAAAATGGAAGGTACCTAGTAATGATCACAGGTGTGCCAGCATAAGCAGCACAAACAGCAGCATTAACTTTAGCAGTCATGCCCCCTCTTCCCAATCTTGACTTGTCTCCAAAAGTAATTTCTTTTTGATGTTTTTCTTTCACATATGTGTGAATTAGCCTTGATTTTGGGTCCGACGGAGGGCCACTATATAGGCCCTCAACATCACTCAACAAAACAAGAAGGTCTGCTTTAAGTTCCAGAGCCAATAGACCAGCCAAACTGTCATTATCCCAGAAGATACCAGAAGAATCCTGCAGACAGTGCTTGCAATAAAAGGTAATTAAATGTCACTAAACCCGGAAAATCAAGTTCGTAATTAGGAGTAGAGAGCAATCAAAGGCATCATGGAAAAAAGTAACTAAATAAATATATGGTTAATTCAAATGAAATAGTTTAAGGAAAAGCAGCATACCTCATATGGTGCCTTCCTAGTACTAACAGCATCATTTTCATTGAAAATGGGGATAACCCTTAAATCTAATAAAGAGTTCACAGTGTCCGACAGTTGTTTTCTGAAAGCTGTATCCCTAAAAAACCCATCATTCACAAGAAGTTGGGATGAAGTCACATCAAGCTGCATCAGAAAAATGACATATCAACATCAATATAGAGGAAACAATTAGATTAATAAAACTCCTGTTAATGTATTCAGGCAAAACACACATACATAAGATTCAAGACTTGTTGAATTTGCAACAAAATTTTGTGTGCACCTGACTAAACATGATATCATAGAGAGCCATGAGACTACTCTGCCCAACGGCTGCACATGCTTTGCCATCAAATTCGCCTTGTGGCTTTTGAAGATCCGAAAAGCTGCATAACAGGTAAACACTTTATTTCAGGCTCATCATTTTCTTCCTTTGTCTCTTAAACTCTACTTCATATTGATAAAAACATGCAAAAGTTTGCACAAAATCCCTCAATCCAATACTGCTCTAGTCCTAATTAAATAATTCGAAAAGAACAAAATTACAAAAGGAATTATGCTTGGCTTTAGCGATGAAACTTGAATTACTTTTTGAAACACAACGCTTTTAGCAATGCAACACAACATTTTTGTCCTGTTTAAAACAAAAACACAAATAAATAATTCAGACTGAATTTTTTTACTTTTTTTTTTGTTTTATATAGCACGAAAACTCATTTTTTTTTTAGAACATCACATACTACTTAACTTTTACCAATTCTTACAAATTGATAGAATGAAAGTATGAACAAGTTATTAGCTGAAAAGTTTGATGTATTTCAATAAAAAAATGATTAGTTAATATAACAAAAGAGAAGTTACAGCAACCTGCTATTGGCCAATCTGCGGTATCTTAGTCTTTGCCGGCCAAGACCAACTGCGCCTGAAGTCACCAATATAACCTCATATCCCTTAGTATTTAGTTCTTTAAGCTGCGTTAAAGATAGCTTTCAGTTACCACAAAAATTACGTGACCAGTGAAGAAATATCAAACACATGTAAATTTTGTAAGTCCAGAAGCCATTCAAAATAGCAGAAGAGCAAAGCAGGACAAGGATTTCATTAGAGCTGCTCCACCTATTCACCATCTTCCTTAATTTATAAAGTTCTTTATTTTTATTTGTAAATTAAAAAAAAGAAATTGAATAAAAGATTTGGGTATTTTACTGGATTCGGAGCTGCTATGGTTTTTCTATGCTATTCAGATACAAGTTTGGTTTATGTGAATGGATGTTATCAAGATTCTTATATAAGTAATGTAATGCTATTCTGTTTACACAGAGAAAAATACTTTACCTGCTCGCAGAGAGCTCCAAGTCTTCCCAACGCTAATCTTCCATCACTTCGAGTAACCACAGCTGTTCCAACCTTCAAATATGAGAAAATAAATAAACGATTAATTGCAGAACGATTAACAACAAAATAGTGTCAATGATGAGATACTAACAACATACAAAGTAGTACAGAAATAAAATATGTTACAGAAAACCATTTTGATAGCTATAGTAAACATCTAATGCTTCACTCATTCAATAAAAGTGACAATTTCCTCAAGATCTCGTTTTCCTAATTCATCTATGTTAGAAAAAAAGTTATCATCAAACAAATAATACACTAAAAGTCGATTACAAAGCTTACAACTGTCCTTTCCATCCACACATGACATCATCGAAAACATGGAACAACGTTGATTTTCTTCGTTTTCTCTAAACGAAACAAATTTCATTGAAAAAATAAAAATAAAAAAAGGAAAAAAAAGAGGAACGGCCTCAATCAAAATAGAACGAGAATGCACGTGGTCGTGACATGATTAAGTTGAGAGACCTTGACGACAACACGCCTGACACTCTTGACAAAAGCTCGAGTAGGATCCATGGAGGCAAGGGTAAAGAAGAGCACTGAGTTAGAGACGCGAGTGAATGAGCGAGTGAGCGAGTGAGTGAGGGAGCGAGTCCACACTTAATGTGAAGAGGGAGAAGAATAAAAAGAAGAGAGGAGATAGATACAGTTGTTTGTTGGCAAAAGAAGCAGTTTGAAATTCCATGAGACGCGGCGAGCGTGCCACGTAGTAGAGGCTTTTTCTATTCGATGGTGGGTCCCATAACCCAATCACGGATTCTCCTTGGAGTCGACACAAAATCCGTGATGCTCGCCCACTCACTAACTGACATTTGGCTACACGACGAGCTTCACGATTTTTTATTTTATTTTTTTTTTTTTACAATTTTCATTTGTTTATTATTATTAAATGGAACATCTAATATATTATTTAATATGACCATATCATATCAGATAATCTTAATTATACAAAAGTGAATTAATAGTAACAAAAAAAATCAAAAATTAAAATAAATAATTACAAAATTATCACTTTCAATTCATCGTTATATGATTAATATTCTTTTATCGAAAATATAAGAAACATATTGCAGAAATGGTGTTGTTCATTCATGCAATTATTTAATAATTTTAATATTATAATTATATACTTCTAATAGTACATAATTAAAAATGATTAGCAAATATCTTGTAACAAGACATCTGATGTACTTATATATTATTAAATAAGTACACTTTATTATTATGATTACTATCTAAAATATTTTCAGAATATTTTTATAAATATTATGTGAACGTAGAATGTGGGCATGGAGTGTAAATTGTACAGCCTAACCTTTTAAATCTTGCAATATTTTTAGATCAAGCATTTTTTGAAATGGAGAATCAAATCATCTGATTTCATATATTTTTTGCTTACAAAGATGAATTTAAAAGGATTTTCCATTATAAAGAAAAACATTGTTGCACACAATTTCTCATCTAGATCAATTGCTGAAAAAGAAAAATGGAGAGAGAAAAAAAAAACAGGTTTTGAATAATGATGGGTGCTTAGTGTGTTTTTTTTCTATTGGTTTAATAATTATGTTGCAAGAAATAAATTTATTTCTTTAAGGGGAGGGTTAAATAATGAAGATATTCGACGAAAGGTCGGAGTAGTACCGGTAGCCGAGAAGATGAGAGAGCATAGATTGAGGTGGTTTGGGCACGTGATGAGAAGACCCATGGATGCTCCTGTAAGAACAGAAGTTTGTTACCAAGAGCTCAACACAAAAAGAGGCAGAGGTAGACCGAAGCTTACTTGGGGGAAAGTAGTAAAACAAGATTTAATGGAGTGGGATATAAATTGGCGGACAGTATGTCTTAGAACGGAATGGAGAAAAGCTATAAGTATGGTGGAGGGTTAGACCCGCTGTTATTCCTATGTTCCAGATGGTCCCTTTTTAGTCCTTTTCCCCTTCATTTCCCCCACTTCTTCTTGTCCCTTTCTTTTTTACTTTTATTTATTTATATATACATATATTGTTATTTTATTTTATCTTATTTTATATTTTTATTTTATTTGTTTTTTTTTTATTTTATTTGTTTTTTTTTTGTTTTTTTTATTTTTATTTTTTTAACCGTTTTGTATCTTTCATGTGGGTTCATCTACCACCGACCCCAATTAATTTGGGATAAAGGTGTTGTTGATGTTGTTGATGTTGAAGGGGAGGGTTATATTTATAAACTTTTTATTTATAAACTCTTATAAACTATACTATGTACTTCCGGGAAATATTAAGTTACACTATGTTTTATGTTCTCCTAGGAATACATAATGTAATTTGTAAAAGGATTCATGTGAAAAGAAGAGAAAAAAAATATGGATCTCACATATTTTTAGGGATAGAATATTGTAATAATCAATTAAGATTATAATTAATATTATTATCAATTAATTTTACCATATCCCATATGTTTATGTCTGTGTAATAGGGTTATAATAAACATTACACTTTTTTTATTTTCCTCCCATGTGAACTTTCAAAACCAGCATATTTTATGGATACTCCCAGGTTTAGTCACCAATCATCGCAAGTTCGTAACTAACATTTGGATTGTTCTCAGTTTTCGAAAATCCCAATAAACCAAAAACGGCATATTCGCCTTTTGTCTCTTTCCAGATACCATACCTTCGCATGAAGGAACAGTGACCATTTTGACCTGACAATGTCAACAGTAAATTTTGCCAAAATATCACGCGACATATTTCGTTACACTGTGTAGCGAAATATGTTTGTATATAATTCGCTACACAGTGCAGCGAAATATGTCATGTCAGGCTGCATAGTCAGCAAAAATGACACGTGTCAAGCAGGCAGAATTCAAGCATAATTCGCTATACAGTGTAGCGAATTTCTGCCTACTTGACACGTGTCATTTTTTTCTGACTGTGCAGCCTGACATAGTATATTCCGCTACACTGTGTAGCGAATTATATTCAAACATATTTCACTACACAGTGTAGCGAAATATGCCGCATGACATTTTGGCAAGATTTACTGTTGGCGTGGCAGTCTGGTAAATTTTTTTGCCAAGCGTGGCAAAATAGTCACTCTCCCTCACAGGAAAGCCTGAAACTTTATCCTTACGCTAAAATAGTTAACCGCTTTAAGATTTTTTTTTATTTACATTTTTTGAAAAAAGAGGTTACTTGTGAAAAATATACAAATATGAAAAAATAATGAGAATAACATCTGTCATTTTAAAGGATATATGCTTATATCATTTTAGATCATAACCGTTGATTTCCATCCATCAACAGTTACAATTTATTGGATCAAAATTATTAAATTAATTAATAATAAATTTGGCCCATTAAGTTTGACCCAATAGATTATAACCGTTGATGGACGAAAATCAACGGTTAGAATCTAAAATGATGTAAGTTTATATCTTTTAAAAGGATAGATGTTTTTTCCAAAAATAATATATTTATATTAGGGAAAAAGGTTTTATTTTAAATAACCATGTCCTTTCACTTTTACAAGAAGTGGGATTTATATTTTTAAAATTTTTCTCCCTCAATTTTTTTAGGATTATCTATCTTTTTTTATCACTTAAAATAACATAATTTTATGATATTTAAAATCATACACACTTTTTCCTTTGTATTATTCTTATTTTAGGATTTTTTCTTTTATATTTTTTTTCTTTTAAGAAAGGAAGTGCGTATTCCTTGATCCCCAGAAATGTCGTCGGTTATTTCCAAAAAAAAGAAAAGAAATGTCGTCGGTAGGTTCGGATGAGACGTGAGCGAATAAAAGAGAGAGAAACGCCAAATTAATGCGCAAGGGAGATAAACAAAAGAGTAGTTATAGATATTTCTCTAACGAATAGAAACATGTTCATAATTGTAAGAGTAAATATCATCTTTGATCCTCAACAAATTTCACGTCACCCGTTTTAGTCCCTAGCAAATAAAAAGGTTCATCGTGATCCCTAAAAAATTCAAAATTGATCCATTTAGTTGAAATCGTGGTCCCTCACAAATTCAAAAAAAACCCATATTAGTCCCTAAAAGGACTAAAATGGGTTCATTTTGAATTTCTCAAGGACCACGATGGACCTTTTTATTTGCTAGGAATTAAAGCGGGCATCGTGAAATTTGCTGAGGATCAAAAAATGTATTTACTCTAATTTTAAAGTTACTTAAGTAATAATTTGGTTATTTTGTCTTTATATGAGGCTAACCTTCACATACAAATCTAAAAAAAATTAAAACACTGATTTTTTCCTTTATAAACTCATACCGAAACCTTGTTATTTTGTATTCTCGATTTTGCATTTATAATTGTGCAATTTTCAGTCGTGTTATTTTGGTTGGTAGTTTACACACCACCAAAATAGAGGTCCATGTTCTATTCTGAAAAGCATTTGTTCATCGATCTTAAGCACTATAGAAAGAGAAAAATTACCCTAAAAATACAATATCTAATATTGGCTTGAGTTTTCTATTTTGCCAAACTATTTTTATTATTGCATGATTCAATCTTTGTTTATTCTAGAAAGGTTAGCATAAAAAAAAGATTAACATAAAAACAAACACACGTGAGATAAATCTCAGTAATATTGAGGTTTTCGAACAATAACCAATATAGCCACTTTTATGAAAAATATCATTCTCACAGAATAAAATTTATAATAAGAAAATAATATCATAAATAATAAATATAAGCTCAGACCTTTGTGAGTTCTTCATTTAGCTATACCAAAATCTTTATGGGTTCTACCCAAACTTTGTGAGTTTTAGATACATATATAGGAACATGTAATCTTTAACTGAAATGACTAATACTCAATTCTGGAGTGCCCAAATTCTGTGGGTTCTGTATGTGAAAGGTTCTGTATGGAGGAGCTCAAGTCATGATAAGGCGTCATTTACCCTATAATCATTATGTTCCCCTTGTGGGTCAGTCACATCAAAATCATTCAGTAAAAGATTACATATTCCATTAGTATTCATTTGGTACTAAAGAAATTTTTTAATTTCTATAAACTTGATTCAAGATCATTCTCATATCTAATATAAGTAAATTCCTCAAATTCACAAAATCAAATATAGAAAATAAAGTAAAAGAGTAGAAATAATTCATAAAATAATTTTGATAGAGTATTACATCACATGCAGAGGAAGAACCAAGAAGAAGAATGAGAGAAAAGGGGAAAGTGAGTTCTCAACTATTCAACCGAATGTACAAATGTACAAATACAACCACTTAATAATGACGTCCAGTTCAAATGAAAAGTAACTGAACATAACTAATATGATTACAATTTGACTAAAACCACTAACCTAGAGTTATTAATTTACTAATTATAATACCCCCCCTCAAGATGGAGAGTGAATGTCATGAATTCCCATCTTGGATAACAGTGGCAGTAATTTTGTTGATGATAAAGCTTTAGCGAAGAGATCAGCAAGCTGAAAATGTGTCCTTATAGGCATCAATTTGACTAAACCAGAAGAGACCTGATCATAATAAAATGACAATCAATCTCTATGTGCTTCGTACGCTCATGAAAGGTGGGATTAGAAGCTATATGTACAACAACTTGATTATCACAAAATAATAAGGCAGGAGAATCAAGAGTGCAGCCGAAATCCTGCAGTAATTGCCTTAGCCAATGCAC